AAGTGATAATGGATTACAAAGGACTGTGATTGTTAGCTGGAAGAGTACTCACAGAAACAAGAGCCTTTCAAACACATTCTCATTCTGAAAGTGTGCAGACTAAACTCCCAGTGGGGGGAAACACAAATTGCTGCATTGAAGGTGACTATTTAAATTTATAATTCTGTATTCATCCTGCAAGTTTTAAGATAACTTAATCAAACCTTGTTTTTTATTAAGTGAATTGTATGCATGCTAAATGAAGTGCAAGACATTTTTTTAGCCCAAGAAAGGTAAAGAATAATTTTGACTTTTGACTTTAAAAATTTGTTCTGAATGAAACACTCTGGCTACATAGCCACGTAGATTGGCGGAGGATTTTAGGCAGACCAGCTTTTCATTCACTGATTTAGAAATGATGAAACTAAAGTAACTAAGGTCAGAGGAAGTAAGGTATTTTCCCCTGAGTCACTCCAGATCCAAATGTATGAAACCAAAAGGAAGAATCTTGGGGTGAATTCCCAATCATATTCTTCCCCAGAACCCCCACATTTCTGCAAGTTGTTTATTGCGTGACGATGCTCAGCTGAGGCTACAAGTACAGCCAGAAATTCATCCCAGGCTCTGTTCGCTAAGCCATGGGCCGTGGCAAGGGGCTCTGCCCACCTGGAGATGGGGCATGTTTTTCAAAGGTACCAGGTTTGCTTGCCAAGCCCAGCACCTATGGAAATAAGCTGTTGGGTTGGGGGTCCGTGGGCCGTGATGGAAGCACATACCAATGTTATACAGGACATTCTATGTATTACAACTAGAACTAGAGCTGATCATGGCATCATCTTAAAAGGCAGTTGTTTGAATGGTGGACATAGAGTAAGAGTTAAGAGCTGTGTATAATTTGGAGAGGATTGGTAGTGATCAGTGTCTGATTTCACCATATCAGTTGCACAGGCAGAGTGGACCCTGGATGAAATGGAAAAAGTGTGGGATTTGGGGTATCTTCCCATCTGCCCTTCTATACATTAGACTTTTCTCTTCATTCCTTTCGCCTTTTCACCTTATCCCACACTGCTCAGACATCAGCTTCAAACTTGGCAATTTAAAAAAACAACAACAAAAAAAAACCACCAAAACTACCTTATGTTACTAAGAAGTTGTTCAAGAGGAAAACACTTTAGCCAAATTTATACTAAGATGTAAATAGCTAGGAACAATTAAGTGTTACCAACCCCAAGGGTTCTATTTTAATACTTAAATAGGAAATGAACTGCGCCCCCCTAGTGGGTTTTGGGCAGTGAAAAACAGCATGGATTTTGTGTGGGTGTTCAAGGCAGGGGAGGTTTCTTTGTTCCTGAGTACACTGCATATTGGTCAGAACTCTTCAGGTTGGCCCAACATGCAAGATGCACTCAGTTTACATCACCTTTGTTCATCGCTGCTCTGATTTTATCACTGTGTTTACTTACCCATTCCCAGTTCCCCGGCATTCCCCCCTTCTTTTAGGCCAATCTAGCTCTGAGTATGGCCAGGCTGACATTTGTTTTCCATCTTCCTTAATTGCCTTCTTTCCAGGCAAGCAAACTGCTTCATAACTTGTACTCTATCCCTACATCTTTTTTTTAAGCACCACACTCCCACCAAAATCCTCCTTCTTCAAAGTTTCAGATTCTGCCTCTTTTTTGAAGCTTTGATTGTTGTGGTTGAAGTTCAGAGGTTCTCCATTGCTTCCTTGTCCGGTAGCTAACCCTGTAAGCCTAGGAGAGGGGAAGGAGAAGTCACTAAGAGTCTGATTGTTAGAAGCTTTTAGAAGGCCAAGGTTGTGTCTTTTTCTACTTTTCTTTCTCTACCAACCCCAGTGAAGCACAGTTGGTATTTTGTCATCTTCTTAGAGTTACTGTAGGTTACTGGAAGCTGGGACTTGACTTTTCCTGTTTTATATTCTTCCTTGATCTGAAGCAATTCCTATAGCTTTTCTTGGGCTTATGTTATGCCAATGAAGCTAGCACCACTTGCTAATTTGATCAGTTCAGTAAAAACGTGTACCATCAGGCAGCATGGCTAAATGAACTCTGGTCAAAGAAGTCCAGATAGCTGAAGTGAAAAGCTCATATAAAAATGGTTGGACTGTCCATCTGTGATTCTATAAGGGAACTTCATAAATTTCCATGTCCTCCATGCCAATGATACATTTTAAGGGTTCCTGACCCTTGAGTACATGGAGCTTTTTGAATGCCAGGAAGCTATGATCATATTCTACTTTGTCCACAAGGTCAAGGGTTTGCCTATTTAATCTCAGTAGATGCCAACAAAATCAAATATATGACAAGTTTCCAAATTTCTTTGCACATGAGGATGAAGCATCTTCAGTGCCTTAGGAATGCTATTGGGTTGTCGGAAACATCATGATGTATTTTGTCTGTTTTTCAAAGGTCATTTATTTATATAAAGAATAAAGATCAATCAATGATATATTGCCCATTTCGTTCGATAACCTTTTGCCATCTTTCAGTGAGCTTCATAATTCCTTGTTCATAGAAGCACCTGTCTTTATTTGCGAAAAACTGAACAAGATGCTGATTTACAGCCTCATCTGAATTGAACGTTTTACCACGCAAGGAGTTTTGAAGAGAGCAAAACAAGTGGAAGTCTGATGGTGCAAGTTCAGGCGAGTATGGTGGGTGTGGCAACACATCCCATCCAAGCTCCAGTGATTTTTGATGGGTGATCACAATTGTGTGTGGTCTCGCATTGTCACGATGGAACACAACTCCTTTACAATTAACAAGCTCTGGACGTTTCTGGATGAGAGATTTGTTCAAACTGTCCAATTGCCAACAGTACACATTCGAATTGATTATTTGGTTCATTGGTAGGAGCTCGAAAAACACGACACCTTTAAAATCCCACCACACTGAGAGCATAACCTTCCTCTGATGAATGTCTACTTTCAGTGTCATTTGAGGCGAATCATCACGTCAGGACCAAGACCATTTGTGCACCACATTGCGGTAAACAATCCACTTCTCATCACCAGTTATCAGTCGCTTCAGAAAAGGATAGTTTTCCTCACGTTTAATGAGCATATCACAGATGTTTATATGCGCCATCAAATGAACTTCTTTGAGTTCATGTGGAACCCAAATATCAAGCTTGCTTACGTATCCCAGCTTCTTCAGGTGGTCGTGAATGCTTGAATGATGGATGTTCAATGTTTCTGCAATTCCTCGTGTCATGTAACGTGGGTTTGACTTGATCAGTGCCTTTATTTTGTCATCATCAACCTTGGTGGGCCTCTCTGACTGAGGATCGTCGTTGAGATCAAAATCACCAGCATGGAATTTTGTGAACCATTGTTGGCACTGACGCTCTTGTAGAGCATTGTCACTGTAAACTTTATGCTACTTTTCACAAGCTTGATGTGCATTCTTCCCTTTACGGAAGTAAAACAGTAAAATATGGCAAAAATGCACAGTTTGGTCTTACATCTGCAACTTGTTGTAAAATCTCCAAAACTTAACCAAATGTTTTTCGTTTTTAGAATGAAGCTAGAACTGTCAGCTGTCAAATGACATAGCAATAACATAGATGCAAATGACGCTAGTACTTTTAAAAATGAACTAGTTTCATCTGTCACGAACATGCATCATGACTTTCCTGACAACCCAATATATATGAACGTTACTGTACTTTATTTTCATCTACTCCTTTGAGCTTTTGTTTTGAAAAATTGGAACCCAAACTTGTTATTCTAAACATGGTTTGTGCGTCAATTCTCCACTCTCCAACTGTGCCTTCTTTCTCTCTGTTTTTTTTTTTCTGTTGATCTTACTGACATCATTCCCCTAAATAGAACCACTGTTGATGCCTGCGTGTTGTGTTTTTCTCTCCTGCTACTTGCTGTCTTCATTGTACGAGCACCTCTCAAATGTCCCCATTGCTCTGGCTCCCTGTATTAGGGTCCTCTAGTAGAGTCGGGGTAAAGCATGTACAGTCTTGATGAGTACATCTCTCAGCCCAACTTACCAAAGGATAGCCCGGGTCTGAGGCAACATTCTTTTTCTTTAAATTTTTAAAGTTTTTATCCATCCCCTATTTTCAAGCCTGGTTGTGCTCAGAAACTGCATGCCAATTAGCAAATTGTTAACCATTGTCTTTATCTGGTTTAACCAGATATGTTAACCAATATCTTTAGCTCCAGGTTGAAGAAGGGGTCAGCCATGCCTCCGAACACAGAAGGAAAGGTCTAGTGTTTCGGCACCATTTTCTGTGGTGGAGGGAATTGGTTGGGTAGAAGGTAAATGCTGGCCTCTCCTAGAGGGACATGCAGCCTAAACTCCCAGTGGCTCCTTGAAATAAGGAACCAAGAGGTGGCCATTCGCTGTGCCACAGCCATATTTAATATGTGGGACAGAGTGCACAAACATCTGTTTGAACATGTACCCACTTATAACCTAATTGCTAACTGGTTAAAATAGTCTTTCATTCTGGCCAACAAATATTATCTCATGTACAGAACTTGGCCTTGTGTACTAGGGTGGAGATAAACATAATAGAGCATTATCCCTGCTTTTAAGAAGCTTATAACCCAGTTATCTAAGCCACTGAGTTTATAAAGTGTTTTTAAAAGTGTGATGTTCTAGAGCTATCCTTTACGGAAATTACACTTAATGTAAGTTTCTGCTATTGTTGTTGGGATGAAACACTTCTCTTTCTGCGGCTGCTACACCACAAGTCCCATTAACAGCTCCCCACCACCTCCCACCCTCTTTTCTGAAGAGCTGTATTCTATATAGTCGGGGCACAGAGCTATGAATTGATCTCCAATGCGGGTAAAGCTAATAAATATGATTTAGGATGAAAGGCACTGTGTAAATGCTCGAGATGTTGTTATTACTGTTCTCATGCACTTTATTATTTTTAAATTGTGCATCCTTTTAAGTAGATTATTTGTTCGCCACAGTCTCCATTATATCTAAGCAAAGCGTTCACAGAAATTTCTAAAACCTTTTCATTTCTCTCTGTAGGTTGTTGTTTCGTAACATTTTATACAAGAAAAGCTGCACTTGAGGCCCAGAATGCACTGCACAATATTAAAACTTTACCTGGGGTGAGTCGGTTTACTTTTGTACCAAAATCACTTTGTTGCTTGAAAATGGTCCTTTCAACTGAAGGTTCTAGCTAGCTATGGGCTCTTAGTGCCAAAAATGACTTTGGTCCTTTGAGGAGTGTGGGCTGACCCCTGTTCCCCTGCAGCAGCCAGACCAGCTGACCGGCCCATAAAGAAGCATCGGCATTACCGCTGACAGAAAGAGCTCTCAAAATAGCCTGTCCCCTGGTTAGAAAATCAGTGACCCCACTGGCTCACAGCAGCTGCCAAAGAGTATTGGGTGGGCTAAGATTTGAAAAGGGAGAAAAAAACCCAACACACACAAGAGAAGCGAATGGAAAAGGAAAAGCTTTTACTCACCAGGAGCCCCTTTTCAAATTTAGTCTTTAGATTTTCTTTTGAAAGGACAAAGTGTACCCTGTACAGCCATACTATTAAACCTCCTAATGGCTTCTAAACAGTCAATGGTGGTTAACAAAGTCAGTGTTTTAATGTCCGGTTGGTGGCTTCATGTTGATAGAGAACAGAAAATACAGAGAAAGCTTACTCTTTTTTTCCATTTTCTTCCCAGTAATATTTGACGATGAGTGCAACTCACTAGAAATGAACTGATGTGGTATGAATACATGAATATATGATTCCTGGGGTTTTGTGGCCATTTTATATAGTGCATAGCAGTATAAATTCCCCTATGCCATTTGGATATTTTCCCTATTGACCCAAATATCAGTGACGGGGTAATTTAATATCATGATGATGTATGTCAGTTATATAAAGAACGTGTGGTAAGCAGTGCAATGATAATGATTTTATTGAAGCCTGGTTTGATAGGAAGAGAAGAAAGATAACATCATGTCCCTAATATTTTCAAGGTATAATTCTTACTTTGTGTCATTTAGCTGCTCCTGCACACGTACACACAAATATGTACTTTATCCCCCATTTCCCCCAGAAAGGAAAGCAGGGGTTTAACTCACCTTAGATCCATTGAAAATTTTATAATATTTGTAGTGGCAGATACTCACCAAAAGGTTTTCAAAACATTAGCTTCTTAATCACCCCAAAGTAATAAATTGTGAGCCTTGGTCTTGAATAACACCATTTTGGTCTCCTCTTTTCATGTGAGCAAATCAAAGAGAAGAAGGCTCAAGAAAGCAGGTGTTTGGTATAAGAATTCCCCCTCCCAATTTAATATAACTACTTCTCCTGGAAACTCCTAAGGTGGTTTTTAGTAAGGCTTTTTAGTAGGTCTAAGTGTTTTGCTCAGTGACAAAAAAAAAAAGAAAACAGGTAGTGTTTCAGCTTCATTTTCCACATAAGTGGGATTTTTCCAATGAAAATTTGAGGAGGTTGCAACATTAGGCCACATTATCGAAAGAAACAACCAAAGTCAATATTTACTGACTTATCCAATGCCAGAAAAAAATAATTTTTATTTCCCAGGACCCCCCCTCAAACCCAAAGACCACTTTGTATTCCTTCTCTTAAAAATGAAATACTTCACAACAATTAGCACACAAAATCCCTTCTATGTGTGTTTAGAAGAATATTTTGAAATGATGAATTGTCATTTAGCACTTAGGGTATATGGATGCCAAATCGCATCTTCTTTTAAATTAGCACAAAGCTTGGTTGATTTGAATTCGTCCCCTCCAGCAGAAGCACAGCCCCAAACATGCCATCTTCATATGTGAAGACGCGCTCAAGAAGTCCAGAGTTAATATGATGAGTGGGCCATGTTGAAAAACATACAAGTAACTCATGAATGTGCTTCTGTTTGGAACAGCTTACTCTGAGCCTTTTCTTAACAAACAAATCACATCTTCTGTATTTACCAAAAAAAAAAAAAAGTTGCCTATGTCTATCCCTTCTCCTCAAAAACTCTGCATGCAGAAGCTAGGAAGACCCGTTGGTAAGGACAGTGGTCCTGGGGTTGGAAAAGAGAATTTGTGGATTGTTTTTGGTTTCTTTTTTGTTCAGTTCAATTCCATACACCCAATTACTTGAGACGGGTTAAATGAAAATTTTGAAAAGTCAGGTCTGATTTGTAGGCTCATGGCCTTCCCAGCATGCACACTGCTTCCGCTCTTGCCGTATCCAATTAGGTAAATGGGAACCGAGTCCCCCATCTTGCATTTGTGTTCAGCTTTATCTGATAAACATCACCCTTAACAGCTACAGGGAAAACATGAAAGTGGTTTCCTTTCAGCTGTGAGCTTTTGGTGGACAGGAAGAAACGGGACCAGACATAAAAGATTAATGCATATTCTTGGGGAAAAAATAATACAGGGTGCCTTGCTGTTTGATTACAAGCCTTGGAATTAGTCAACATTTCCATAATTCTAAACCAATATACACCTGTTTTCCCACTGTGATGTGAAGGCACAACTTAATTTAACAGAAACCCTGCTGTGCTCAATCTCTCATTAAATACCAAGTGAGTTCGGTAATTTAAAGTTGTACCACTACTATTTTAACTGGTTGCCTTCATATTATGAAATTAATAAGAAATTAATGATGCACTTTACCATATCTTTCTGGATAAAAATAAAAGGGATAAAGAAAAATGCATCACCAGCTGACACCTTAAAGCTCTTCTGCTTGTAATCATTTTCCTGCGGATAAAATCCATTTAAAAAGGCACTTGCTGCCTTTTTTTCTAACGTGTCCAAAACATTCCATTTAAAATGAGATCAAAGAGTGCTGGGTGTGTGGGGTTCTTTTGTTTGGTTTGTTTTTTTTGTTTTCTTTTGTAGTTGGTATTTTGTATCATATGGAACTTTTATCATGCAAACAAACTTGATTGTTTTGGGACCATCCTCCTTTTGTTCTTGAGAGAAACAAGGAACTTGGTTAATATGGGAGAGGAAAAAAAGCCAATGCAGCTGACTGTGTCTGCTCTTAAATTTGTATGTGAAAGCACCCTTCCTCTTGTGTCATGTGTGGATTATAGAGGCCCCTTACATGGAGAATGCGGGGCCCAGGGTGAAGGCTCAGGGCCACACTCAGCAGTGCAAAGTCCTTAAGGGCCCATTTCTCAAGCCTGCCTCTTACCATGTGACAGAGAAGGACATTGGGTCTTACATCCTCAGAAATGCCCAGCATGAATTCTAGAAATAGAATATTAGAAACAAAGAGAGCAAATTCAACAGCCCCACCCAAAGAGCAATGAATGGGAGTCTGGGGATCATTTCTCTGGTTTGACCTTGTTCTTTTCTAGAAATGGTGGCTTGACATGGGAGCAACAGATCACATCTTAGGTACAATGTTTTATTTATGACTAACATTGTATTATATTAACAAGTCACTGATGATTATTGAGTGCTTACTATGTACTGGCAGTAAGCTATTACACACACACACACACACACACACACACACACACACACACGAAATCCCTGCTGAGTCACCTTGCATAGCCTGAAGAGCATACTGTGACTATGTCTGCACAGGCTACTTGATGAGCCATTGGGATTGGTGCAAAATTGTTAGACTGACTCCTTCCACAGCTGAGCCATGGTATTCTTGGACAAATTTTGGTTGCCTCTGCTTTGAGGATACAGCAAACCCAGCTTAGGGGGAGCAGGAGCATCCTTTGTGTAGACCTTCAGGTAGGCAGAGCCTCACTGGTAGAATTATTCAATAGAAATGTCATCATCTGCCATTGTTTTCCCCAGAGAGAAATCCTTGGAAAGACAACTTGCAAGATTCATTTTGTTTTCACTGACCTAATTTAGCTTAATTAAAAAATAAAATGAAGACCTTAATTGAGGCACAGAACAACTACCACGATCTTTTCAATAATCAGATGTCAGGGCCAAATATCCCGGTGCTGGTGACAGCCCTGCGCCTTATGTCATTCTTTTTTCAAGGTCTTAACACATATTGTCTCCAGCAATAAGGCATTTTGATTGAAAATCTACAGCAGTATCATTAGAGCAGTCACTGTATAAATTAATTTAATTAAGGATGTAATAGCAGAGAAATACAGTTTTGAGAATGCTCTTAAATTTTAAAGCAAGGAGGAATCGATGGGATCTGAATGTCTCGTAAAATATTAATGGCAAATATCTTCTAGACATTTCCTCTGAATACGCCTCACTCGGTTCCTTTTTAGAATCGCTACCCGTTTTATTAAATGCAGTTTATAGTAAGGAGTTCCTGCCCTAAGAGAACCTTCGTTTGAAGCGCTCCATTTTGGCAGTGGCATTCTGAAAGGTGTTTTATAATAACACATGCACAGCAACATTTGTGATATAACTGCGTAGATTCAAGATATAAAAACAAATGAGCCTGATCCAGGAGGCAGAGGCTATAAATAAAATGGCCTCTTGGGACAGGTGTGCTCACGTGCAGGAAAGGAATGAGGCCCTTCTTTCCCAGGTGGCCTTTAACTCAACTCTCCGTAGAGTTGCCCCCCACTGTCCTTTCATAGTGGAATGCTAGGGTTTAATATTCTTTCAGTACAACAACTGGACTGTCACTGGGACCAAATTCAATTCATCCATTGTAATGCATTTTGAGGTAGCCATTGTCTTGGAACCACCTCTTCTAATTATTAATATGTATTTAATGCCTTTGTTCTCAGAGTCACGATAGTTATCATTTTATCATCATCATCATCATCATCATTATTCCTGTCAAAATCTCTAAAATCTCATCTCATCATATCATGGAAATTTTTCCCCAGCCCATCCCATTTCAATCAAAGCCTAACTAGGTCAAACTACAGAAAACTGTTTCCACAGATGCTTTTGATTTAAAATTGTTAGGAAAAAAAAACAGCCAAAACATTTGTACAAACAGGTTTAAGTCCTCAAAATCATGTACCATGTAGAACATCTATATACTCATTCAACAAATATGTATTATATTTTTATTGTTTGCCAGGCATTGTTCTAGTGCAAGGGGAATAAATAGGCAACCTTGCTATTTATAACTGAATCAGCAAAAAACAAAGCCAGCCACCGTGTCTCTACACAGTTAATGTTTAATAATTA